TAAATAAAAGTTTCAATTTAAAAATTAAACCCATGTTTTTTTATTTTCGCCATTCTTCTCTTTTTCGATATTATTCTGAGATTTTACAAGTTTTCACATTTTGCAATTATTTCTTATATTTTTCTCAAATCTTTTGTTCTTTATATTTGGTATTTTTGTAAGTCATTTTTAGAATATTTCAGGAATTCTGAAAATCTCAAAGAACGGTGCATCTTTTTATTAATTATTTGGATGCACCAGTTCTCATACGTGTATTGAAATTTTTGCCAATGATCTTTTTGAATCTTGATTCATTGATAGCTTTTCATAAGGCAATGGATATTAAGAGATAAAAAGCAAGAAACAGGTTTTAGGCTAAATAAATGGGAAAATGTGAAATTTAATAAAGAAGTAAGGGAATAAGAATTAAAACTGTAAATATCGAAGTGAAGAATTTCGGAATAGTAATAGACGAACCTTGGTGACTGTCTTCTTGTTCGCCAAGAGAAAGATAACTTTAACTTTTTTCACGTTTCGTGCATTTATAATCTTGACGCTTTGTGTAAGAACTGCGTTGTCTCCGAGTTTGATGTCGATTCTAGGTTTCTTGTCATATTTTTTGGAAGTCCACAAATCACCACCTGGTCGTACGTCGACGGGTCTCAGTCCTCTCTTCGTCGAGGAAGTCTTGATGTCTGGCGTAGAAATATATTTCGCATCTTTCATACCATCAACGAACTGACAAACAGACGGCGTTGTTGCTGAAACGAATGAAAGACATTATTACTTTCATCAAAGAAATCCTCACCAAAAAATTAAAACAGAACAAATGCCATTCAAAACAAATTTTAACTGATTTCTACATTTACAACAGACGAGGATTTAACTTAACTCGGAGGAATTCACTTACTTGATAAGAACGACGGTTGTGATGTGCCTGAAAATAAAAGAACGAATGAACTTAATATAATTTCACAGATAATTTATTAAACAATTAGGAAAAAAACATTAGGAGTGTAAATATGGAAAGAAAGATATGTAAACACTTTTTTTAACATTGCATCATTAGAATTCGTTATAATAAATTTTCTCTCTAGTTATGGGTGAATAGAAGGACATAGTTCTATACAATACTATGCAGTGAAGGAAAGGAACGCTCGCAGTGACTCGATGATCTTAACTATGGTTGACTCCTTAACAGACTGGGTTCTATAGCCTTGGATTGAAACCTGTCTAAAAGGAAATCTCTGAGTTCAAAACTGTATGCAACCCTGGCGAAATACATACTATTCAGCTAAGGAAAATATCGATCGAATTGATTCGATGATCCCGACAACAATTGGAGACGTGATTCATCGAATATCGTGTAAAACGGAACAGCTAAATTCCTTAAGGTGAGAATTTCATTTGAAACCGAATCAAATTATTTTTATAGTGAAATCAAAGGGATTTTGTCGAATATGTTTGTATGATACTTGTTAAGAATGGTGTTTGAGATGTGTCAGCAAAAATAAAAGAAACAAAGCCATTCAGATTGACTGAAATGTTTTCATAACATAATGTTTCTCACCTTCATTATCGAAAATAAAATAGTTTTGCTAGACGTGAATTACTGTACTTGTGCTGTGATTTAATTGTAAAGAATTTATCATTTTCAATATCACGTGTCAAAAATGGTGGTTTGAATGTCAGTTTCTAGTTGATAAATTGGTAGGCATATAAAATCTAGCTGAAATGATTCACCTTTATTATTTTACAACTTATATGGAGATTTTTATGTGTTATAGGGTTTTTCTCTTTAAAGAAATTTGAAAAGAATTCTTTTTTTCAATGATTGATAAGTAAAGGTTTCATTGGTTGTTGCATATTATTCTTAATGGATGTCATAATGGAGTTACGACCGAGCAGACATGAAGCAGAAGAGTAAGTTTTTACCTGTGACTGGAGTTTGTGATGTTGAAATATAAGCTAATGGTGTTTCTGTAGTGGTCTTAGGGTGGAAACAAGCCATGACAACCACTTCGGCACTAATTGGCCGACGTCGATTCTTTTTAATCAGGTAGACGATAGCTTTGTGGACATCTTTGTTCTTGTTGCTGACGTAGGCTCTCTCATCCGGTTTTACAATCTGCAAATAAGAAAGCAGTCCAAAGATTACTTATGATTATGACTTCTTACTTTTGGGAGGTTTCAAGCATAAAATGTCAAAGAATGTTGTCTTTTAGAACACAGGTGACTTTTAGGCTGCCTTTTCGTATGATTCAGTCACTTTTGCTAGAAGTAAGTAGTATTGCATACAATATTCGATTAATGCATGCCATTGAAAATGTAATCGATGAAATCATATGAATTGCTATTGAAAAAATGTTCGCCGTTATTTAATTTATATTCTAACAAAATGTGATATTTGAAAGCGTACTTGGAATAAAGAAATCTCCCCAGTTAAGGAAAAAAAGAAAAAGAAAAGAAAATACAATACCAACCTTGGTGATTTTCTTCTTGTTTGCTAAATGAAAGATAACCTTGACTTTTTTCACGTTTTGTGTTTTTATAACCTTCACGCTTCTTGTCGGAACGGCTTTGTCTCCGAGTGTGATTTCGATTTTTGGTTTCTTGTCGTTCTTTTTGGATGTCCACACATCACCACCAGGTCGTATGTCTGTCGGCTTCCGTCCATTCTTTGTAGAGGATGTCTTGATATTTCGATTTGGAATATAGGCAGGATTCTTCATACCGTCGTCAAGATGACAGAATTCTTGCCACCCTGTTGCTGCAAGAACAAATATAGCTTTCATCACGCAAACCAATAACTTTACGCTGAAACATAAATTTAAAACTGAATGAAATTATTTTCACATTGAAATCGAAGCTATTTATTCGATCGGTTTAGATGACACTTATTTGACAAGAATTCTTGCCGCCCTGTTGCTGCAAGAAGAAATATATCACACAAAAACGATAACTTAAATGTACAATTTTAATTTGAGACTGAATGATATTGTTTTCAGACGATATTTCTCTCGATCTATTTCTTCACGCAAAACGATAGCTTAACGTAGCGAAATTAATTCGAAACTGAATTAAATTAATTTCATTGTGAAATCTCAGGAATATTGTCCGATTTCTTTGGATAATACTTACTTGTTAAGAATGGCGTTTGAGGTGTGCCTGTAAAAATAAAAGAAGAACAGAAAGATAATTAATTTTCCAAAACCAGATTAAAAAAGAACTCTTGTTGTAAGACCGAGTAAACCTGGGCCCCCAAACATCGTCATCCCCTATGCCAGTCTTCAGTAAAAGTCAATATAAGCAGAGAACTGAAGCGACCAAGACGGCTGGAGTTGCAGGTGGAGCAGCAGACGACAAGTGAAGACCACGCTGCCACGTGACTTGCTGCGAAAGAGAACTCCCAAAGGAAGCCTTGTTCCAAACTTAGCTAAAATGAGCAAAGTGTTACGATAGAATTCAAAGTGGGAAGGGTTAATTTTTCTGAACGATATAAATCACATTGAAAATTGACCCGAAGAATTTGTTTTCTTTTATTTCGTCTTTAAAGAACATTACTTTTTTATTTCTCCTTTGGGACACAGCTTCGCCGTGGTTCGAACCAGCGCTGCATTTGTTGACGACAACTCAATCTTTGTCAGCTCAACGTGGCGGGGAAGGGTGCAGTTAGGGGTGTCCACTTCAACGACCACCGACAGTATTGACCAGCGTAGGAATTGACCCAGGAACGACCGGCAAGAAGTGTCATATTCCTATTGAAATCGGAAGTATTTTCTTCAGACTTTTCGGATAATACTTACTTGTTAAGAATGGCGTTCATGATATTCTTGTAAAATAAAAGAAAATGAATGCAGTGATATTCTGATAAACAGAAAAAAATCAGCGCAAATGTTTTTGAAAATGGCTTTTTTTTTTTTAAAATAACAAAGCAAATACATTACGTGTATCATTTACGGCATTGTTTACCTGAAACATTTTTGTTGTTCCTACATTTCTGTAACCCGTATTTTATGAACAAAGGGGAATATGAGGCTAACATGATTAGTAAGTATAGTCTTGATAAAAAACATTGATCCTTTTATGGAGACAATTGTACGTGTGTTTCATCGAATGTTGTGTAAAACGGAACAGCTAAATTCCTGAAGCAGAGAATTTCATTTGAAACCGAATCAAATTATTTTCATAGTGAAATCAAAGAGATTTTGTCGAATATGTTTGCATGATACTTACTTGTTAAGGTTGGTGTTTGTGATGTGCCTGAAAAAATAAAGAAAACAAAGCCATTCAGATTGGCTGAAATAAATATATTTTGTTGAAACTTGACTAATGCATGGAATAATAATGCAACACAAAATGTACTTAGAACAAAATGTATTGAAAAAAGAAAGTGTACACAATATTTACATATAGTCTTTTGTATATTCCTGGTAAGACCGTTCCTGGGGAATGTGTTGACTGATTCGCAGTCGGGCAGAGTCTCTGGTTGAATCTCTTGATTCCTCCCTCTCTTCCCGGTACCAACCATATTTATATGGTCGGTACTCCATTATGCAAATTAGGTGGATCCTACCACAACATATTTGGAATGAATTGTTTAAATAATAATGTAAATACATTTCTTGGAACCGCTATAAGCTATTATGGTTTGCAAAATCCTGTATACTACAGATGGAGATATTGTTTCTGTCAAACTGGATAAGTGATGCATTGAATATCGTGTAAAAAGAACACTTCTAAATTTATGGTAAACGAAACATGGTGTATATTTTCAAAGCGTTTAGCACACGATGTGTTTAGTTGTATGAAAATATGAATATCCTAGAATGTTTGAAAGGGGCCGCGTGGAAATTGTCAGAGAACAATAATCTGGTAACTGGAAATCATCAATGAAAAACAAGATGAATTAATTGAAGACATCAAGAGGCTGCTATATGAGAGAATCGTCGATGATGCATTGGCTAATAGAAGGAAATGCTAAAAGGGAGTACGTCCATGATTTTATTGCATTGCCTTACCCGGTGTTGAAGCTGTTGTGGCGATCTTTCGAGGTAAACAGGCCTTGATGGACAGAGCAGCCCTCACCGGACGACGTCGATTCTTCTTAGACAGATACACCTCGACGCTTTGGACTTTCATCTTTGGTTGGTTATTTATTGCCGCTTTACCGGGTCTTGTGAACTGTTCGACGAGAAGAGACAACGATAAAGTTTATCATCAAGGTTGTGGCATAATGTTTCTTTATTCATTTTATGCGATATGATTAAATTGGATTTCAAAAAACAATTATTAGAGAGAGGCAGAGAGAGAGAGAGAGAGAGAGAGAGAGAGAGAGAGAGGAGGAGAGAGAGAGAGAATGTTATCAAACAGAGTAAGACACAGAGCGACATGATAGATGAGAAAAAATCATGGAATGCTGTGTACGTAAAAATATATAGAAATTACAGAATATAATGTTTTCAATTCATGAGCGAATTAGCGATCGTATTTTGGCCACTGACCTTTGTGAGTTTTTGTCCGTTCTCTAATCGGAAAACAACTTTGACTTTTTTCACGTTGCGTGTCTTAATAACGGTGACTCTATCCGTTGGAACCCCGTTCTTACTGAGAAGGACGGTGATTCTGGGGCTTCTATCAAGTTTTGTCGAGCTCCATACACGATTACCAGGTCGGACGTATTCGGGTTTACTTCCTCTCTTTGTCGAACTGGTTTTGATATTACTGTTCGGGATGAAGATAGGATTCTTCATGCCATCCACGTCATCACAACGTTGTGCCTTTTCTGTAAGAGAACAACACAAAATATCAGTGCATTTTGTTCAGCAACACTATACATGAGACTTTTCATCTAGACATGGCATAGCAATCGTAATCTGGGTGATTTGAATGTTTGTGCAAAACGCTTTGCCGTAGATACAACTGATTTGCTAACCGTGATGGGGGGAGTACTTTTGCTGAGATTTAAGCAAGTTCTTTCATCAATGTTAAGTATATAGAGGAAACATCATTATCAATATCTCATGTTAGAAATGTTGATATGAATTAAGCTTTACAATGTGTAAATATGTTGATAACTTGCAAATAAATATCATATTGTTCTGCAATATTGCATCTTTATTATATTTACAACTTGGACAATACCAGTTTGTTCATCTTAAACATTGTCTTTTGGCTTTGACAAAATTGTATCAACAGAAGCTGTAATGTGGGCCATTAAAATCCTTTAACAAATTCAGGAAGTAAATCAGTCCAATTAAGATGTGAGTAATGGGATTATGTTTCGGATGGTTCTTGCTTATTGCCATCTGATGTTTGAATAGAGTTTCGACCAAACAGAAATATTTGTAGTTCATCTGAAATTAAGTAAATGATAATGTCAAAGAGGAATAAGTACTTACCTGTGACTGTAGTTTGTGTAGTGTAGACAAAAGTTGATGTCGTTGCTGCCGTGGTTTTTGCATGGAAACAAGCCTCGACAACCACTTCGGCATTAACTGGCCAACGTCGATTCTTTTTAATCAGGTAGACGTTAACCTTGCGGACATTTTTGTTCTCGTTGCTGACGTAGGCTTTCTCATCCGAATTTACAGTCTGCAAAAAAGAAAACAACCCAAAGATCACACAACGTTATGACTTTCTAGTTTTGTGATATTTCAACCCTAAGATTCAAACGAAAGAGTTTGTCGTAGAACTAGGATTGGCTGCGAGGCTGTCATTAAATAAGATGGCGTGTCGATTCTTCTTGACGCAGGGAAATAAAATGCATAAAGTCGATGACAGAAAATTAAGTTTGAAATTCAATTTTCAGTTGAAATGATATAAATTCTGGCGAAAAAAACTTCGACAATATTTGAATTTAGATTTTAAGAAAAATCTGATATTTGATTTCAGACTTGGATTAAAAAGACACCCACCCAGCTTTGGCAATACCTACTTTGGTCATATTTCCGTTATTTCAATTTACAGGCCGACAAAAACGGGAATTGCATACTTGGAATAAAGAAATCAATAAAAATACAATACCAACCTTTGTGACTGTCTTCTTGTTTGCTAAATGAAAGATAACTTTGACTTTTTTCACGTTTCGTGTTTTTATAACCTCGACGCTTCGCGTCGGAACGGCTTTGTCTCCGAGTGTGATTTCGATATTTGGTTTCTTGTCGTTCTTTTTGGATGTCCACACATCACCACCAGGTCGTATGTCTGTCGGCTTCCGTCCATTCTTTGTAGAGGATGTCTTGATATTTCGATTTGGAATATAGGCAGGATTCTTCATACCATCGTCAAGATGACACAATTCCTGGTGTCCTGTTGCTGCAAGAACAAATATAGGTTTCATTACGCAGACGATAGCTTAACGATGTAACATTAATTTGAAACGGAATGAAAACTATTTTTATTTTAAAATCGAAGCTATTTTATTCGATCTGATCAGATGATACTTACTTGTTAAGAATGGCGTTTGAGATGTGCCTGTAAAAACAAAAAAAAATATAGAACAACTGAGAAAACTGATTGCAAATATTGATGCAAATATTGATATTAAATAAGAAAGCAAATATATTTCGTATCTTTATTCTCGACCAATACGCTTAAATACGAGGTAATAATTGAATATGCGTTTTTGCAATGAAAACCACTTGCTAATGCGAATCATTAATCTGTTAACGAATCAGTTGATAAATTGATGCTGTCTTTCAGGTATGAAGACATTTTACCAACGGAAAATGAGAGATATTTGAAAAAGAAATTTAATTGCAGACAGTTACCCAGTACAATTGAAAGGCTAGCAATTATATTTCTGAACCCTTGTTGCTTCCTATTATGCGATGTGGGAATAGAGTTTCAACCGAACAGAAATGTTGGACATAATCTAAAGTTGAAAAAATGTCGATATCAAAGAAGAGCAGGTTCTTACCCGTGATGGTAGATTGTAATGTTGAAAGAAAAGTTGATGGCGTTGGTGTAGTGGTCTTTGGATGGAAACAAGCCTTGACAATCACTTCAGCACTAACTGGTCGACGTCGGTTCTTTTTAATTAGAGAGACGATAATCTTGCGGACATTTTTATTTTTGTCGCTGACGTATGCTTTCTCATTAGGTTTGACAATCTGCAAAAGACAATGCAGCCCAAAGATTACACAACGTTATGACTTCTTAGTTTTGTGATATTTCTAACATAAAATGACAAAAAACGATAATGTGGTTGAACAAGAAGTAGCTTCTTGTCTGTCATTACACAAGACTGTACTTCCATTTGTTACGCTAAAGTAAACTTAAGAGAATGATTAACAGAAAAGGCAATCGTTGCAATAATATGAATTGTGGTGCACAAGAAAGAAACACACACACACACAAAAACAAAAAAAAACGCCTGCTGCAATTTAATTTACAAATGAGATAATCGGAAGCGCGCTTTGTATTAAGCAAATAATAAAAATAGCAAATACTGAAGTCGGTGATTGCCTCCCCTTGTTTGCAAAAATAAAGGTAACGTTAAGTGATTATCTAGCGTTATGACTTTCAAGTTTCGTGATCTTTCAAACCTAAATTCATAAAGATAGATTCTTTATCAGAAGTTGGAGTGGCTTCTAGGCAGGCATTACAGAAACTTATGCGTTAATTTTGCTGGCTGAAGCCAGAATCGGCAAGACAAATTTTGCAGAATGAAAGAGAAAACTCAGTCGTTGGATTCGTATGAATTCTGGTGAAAAATCTCTAGCCGTTATTTCAATTTATATTCCAACAAAAATGAGATATTTGAACATGTTGTTGACAATAAAATGAAAAACCAACCTTGGTGATTTTCTTCTTGTTTGCTAAGTGAAAGATAACTTTGACTTTTTTCACATTTCGTGTTTTTATAACCTTGACGCTTCGTGTCGGAACGGCTTTGTCTCCGAGTGTGATTTCGATATTTGGTTTTTTGTCGTTCTTTTTGGATGTCCACACATCACCACCAGGTCGTATGTCTGTCGGCTTCCGTCCATTCTTTGTAGAGGATGTCTTGATATTTCGATTTGGAATATAGGCAGGATTCTTCATACCATCGTCAAGATGGCACAATTCTTGCCGCCCTGTTGCTGCAAGAACAAATATAGGTTTCATTACGCAAAACGATGCAAAATTATTTGAAAACGAAACGAATTCATTTTTATTGTGAAATCGAAGGTACTTAGCTTGATCAGTTTGAATGATACTTACTTGTTAAGAATGGCGCTTGTGATGTGCCTGCTAAATATAAAAGAAACATTTGTATTCTGATTAACTGAATAATTGGCCACAAATATCTTTTGAATGCATTTTGTTAAAGACATACATACATTTGGTACGTCAAATGAGAATCACGTTTTTGGACATTGGAGAAGGAAATAATGGAACATGAGGGGAGGAAATTGTAACAAAAATAGAAACATTGTTCCTTTTATGAAGAGAGTTACATAAGGGATTCAGAATTATGGAATATGAACAGAAATTCATGGTAATAATAGAAGAGAGGGGGAGAGAGCGAGACAGAAGGGAAGAGAGAGTGGGAGAGAGAAAGGATTGAGAAAGGGGGAGTAAGATAGAGAGAGAAAAGCGAGAGGGTTGAGAAAGAGAGGGGAGTGAGATAGTGAAAGGGAGAAGAGAGAGAGAGAAGTTTCTGAGAGAGAGAGAGAGACAGAGAGAGAGAAAGAGAGAGAAATCGGTCGAAGAGAAATATTGTATGTCATGTAAAGTTTGCGAAAAATATCAAAGAATTGTAAATATTTACCCGTGACGGTAGATTGTATTGTTGAAAGAAAAGTTGATGGCGTTGGTGTAGTGGTCTTTGGATGGAAACAAGCCTTGACAATCACTTCAGCACTAACTGGCCGACGTCGATTCTTTTTAATTAGGAAGACGATTAACTTGCGGACATTTTTATTTTTGTCGCTGACATATGCTTTCTCATCCGGTTTGACAATCTGCAATAGACGATGTAGCCCAAAGATTAGACCACGTTATGTCTTCCTAGTTTTGTGATTTTCAAACAAACATTAAATGTCAAAGGTAGATTGTGTCGTAGAAATTGAAGTGTCTTCCATGTTGTCATTACACAAGATTGTTAGTCAATGATGTTGGCTAAAACCAGACATGCGAAAGTAAACATGGGAAAAATTAATAAGAAAGAAAATGAAATTGTTGAAAGCTTATGACTCTCGAATGTATGCTATATATTAAGACAGCAATCAAAGTGCAATACCAACCTTGGTGATTGTCTTCTTGTTTGCTAAATGAAAGATAACTTTGACTTTTTTCACGTTTCGTGTTTTTATGACCTCGACGCTTTGCGTCGGAACGGCTTTGTCTCCGAGTGTGATTTCGATATTTGGTTTCTTGTCGTTCTTTTTGGATGTCCACACATCACCACCAGGTCGTATGTCTGTCGGCTTCCGTCCATTCTTTGTAGAGGATGTCTTGATATTTCGATTTGGAATATAGGCAGGATTCTTCATACCATCGTCATGATGACACAATTCCTGGTGTCCTGTTGCTGCAAGAAGAAATATAGGTTTCATTATGCAGACGATAGCTTAACGATGTAACATTAATTTGAAACGGAATGAAAACTATTTTTATTTTAAAATCGAAGCTATTTTATTTGATCTGATCAGATGATACTTACTTGTTAAGAATGGCGTTTGAGATGTGCCTGTAAAAACAAAAAAAATATAGAATAGCTGAGAAAACTGATTGCAAATATTGATGCAAATATTGATGCAAATATTGATATTGAATAAGAAAGCAAATATATTTCGTATCTTTATTATAGACCAATACGCTTAAATACGAGGAAATAATTGAATATGCGTTTTTGCAATGAAAACCACTTGTTCATGGGAATCATTAATCTGTTAACGAATCAGTTGATAAATTGATGCTGTCTTTCAGGTATGAAGACATTTTACCAACGGAAAATGCGAGACGTCATTTGTTTTTGTCTTTGAAGATATTTGAAAAAGAAATTTAATTGCAGAGAGTTACCCAGTACAATTGAAAGGCTAGCAATTATATTTCTGAACCCTTGTTGCTTCCTATTATGCGATGTGGGAATAGAGTTTCAACCGAACAGAAATGTTGGCCATAATCTAAAGTTGAAAAAATGTCGATATCAAAGAAGAGCAGGTTCTTACCCGTGATGGTAGATTGTAATGTTGAAAGAAAAGTTGATGGCGTTGGTGTAGTGGTCTTTGGATGGAAACAAGCCTTGACAATCACTTCAGCACTAACTAGCCGACGTCGATTCTTTTTAATTAGGGAGACGATTAACTTGCGGACATTTTTATTTTTGTCGCTGACATATGCTTTCTCATCCGGTTTGACAATCTGCAATAGACGATGTAGCCCAAAGATTACACCACGTTATGTCTTCCTAGTTTTGTGATTTTCAAACAAACATTAAATGTCAAAGGTATATTGTGTCGTAGAAATTGAAGTGTCTTCCATGTTGTCATTACACAAGATTGTTAGTCAATGATGTTGGCTAAAACCAGACATGCGAAAGTAAACATGGGAAAAATTAATAAGAAAGAAAATGAAATTGTTGAAAGCTTATGACTCTCGAATGTATGCTATATATTAAGACAGCAATCAAAGTGCAATACCAACCTTGGTGATTGTCTTCTTGTTTGCTAAATGAAAGATAACTTTGACTTTTTTCACGTTTCGTGTTTTTATGACCTCGACGCTTTGCGTCGGAACGGATTTGTCTCCGAGTGTGATTTCGATATTTGGTTTCTTGTCGTTCTTTTTGGATGTCCACACATCACCACCAGGTCGTATGTCTGTCGGCTTCCGTCCATTCTTTGAAGAGGATGTCTTGATATTTCGATTTGGAATATAGGCAGGATTCTTCATACCATCGTCAAGATTACACAATTCTTGGTATCCTGTTGCTGCAAGAAAAAATATACTTTCCATCAAGCAAACGAAAATTAATTTAAAAGTGAATGAAAATTATTTTTATATTGAAATCGAAAGTAATTTATTCAATTTGTTTGAATGATACTTACTTGTTAAGAATGGCGCTTGAGATATGCCTGTAAAAACGAAAGAATCATAGAATAACTGAAAAACTGATCGCAAATATTGATGGAATTTACTATTTCAATAACAAAGCAAATATATTTCGCCTCTTCATTACATAGTAAAATGGTTGAATGTTGTCGGAGTGAATAATTGAAAATGAGGTTGTGATTTTGGTAATTTTACAACAGACAATGCGCGAGGCAAATTATTTGTGCAGAAATTTAAGCTCGTGTCCTCATAATTATAAAGAATTTAGAGGAAAGATTATTTTCAATATGGCGATTTACAATGAACGCCGCTTCTTAATGCGAATCTGCAAATCTCTCAACAAATCATTTGACATAAATATCAAGTGTAGCCGAAATCTTTCATATTTGTCATTTTACAACTAGGACGATACCAGTTTGTTTTTCGGAAATACTGTTTTTTTCTCTCCAATAAATCCACATAATTTCTACAATTGAGAAGCACGGTAAAACTTTTGTGTTTTTTTTTTTGTGATTTTGATGTCTCTTTCGATTTTTTTGAATGAAACTTACTTGCCAAGAAAGTTGTCTGAGAGATTCCTGCAAAAGTAAAAAGATTTGATTCTATTCAGTTTAATTGAAAAAAGAAAACCGTAGTTACGCTTCGAATGCATTTTTTTTAAAAAACAAAGCAAATATATTTGGTACATATAACATGTTTTGAATTTTATCGCAGAATTTAGTGGAATATGGGGGTAATATGATGGTAGGTGGAAACAGTGTTTCTTTTATGAAAACAGTTCGACAATTAAATGTAATGTCAAACATAACAGTTACATTACTGAAGACGAAATATGAGGGTTGTTTTCAACAGTTTCAGCAGCTGGCGTCGTAAGTAATATAAGAAGAAAGAAATCCATTGGAATGTCTTAAAAAGGAATCTGTAGAAAGTGAAAACAATAATTTTGGTAAACGGTAGAAATCTTAGAATCACTCCTGACGGGTGTAATGTAAATAGAGAGAACGTCCATGGCATTAGTAAATTGCCTTACCCGGTGTTGAAGCTGTTGTGGCGATCTTTCGAGGGAAACAGGCCTTGATGGACAGAGCAGCCCTCACCGGACGACGTCGATTCTTCTTAGACAGATACACCTCGACGCTTTGGACTTTCATCTTTGGTTGGCTGTTTATTGCCGCTTTACCGGGTCTTGTGAACTGTTTGACGAGAAGAGACAAAGATAAAGTTCATCTTCAAGGTTCTGGCATAATGTTTGTTTGTTTATTTTATGCGATATGATTAAATTGGATTTCAAAAAACAATTATTAGAGAGAGAGAGAGAGAGAGAGAGAGAGAGAGAGAGAGAGAGAGAGAGAGAGAGAGAGAGAGAGAGAGAGAGAATGTTATAAAACAGAGTAAGACACCGAGCGACATGAGAGATGAGAAAAAATCATGGAATGCTGTTTACGTAAAAATATATAGAAATTACAGAATATAATGTTTTCAATTCATGAGCGAATTAGCGATCATATTTTAGCCACTGACCTTTGTGAGTTTTTGTCCGTTTTCTAATCGGAAAACAACTTTGACTTTTTTCACGTTGCGTGTCTTAATAACGGTGACTCTATCCGTTGCAACCCCGTTCTTACTGAGAAGGACGGTGATTCTGGGGATTCTATCAAGTTTTGTCGAGCTCCATACACGACTACCAGGTCGAACGTATTCGGGTTTACTTCCTCTCTTTGTCGAACTTGTCTTGATATTACTGTTCGGGATGAAGACAGGATTCTTCATACCGTCCACGTCATCACAAATTTCACTTGCTGTGTTAATGAATAATGTACATAAATGTTTATTTCAATGAATATTGCTGATTTATAAAAGAACTGATTAAAAACTGTTATCCACACTTTCACTGCTACTCTCTCTCTCTATATATATATACTCTCTCTATATATATCTACTTTCTCTCTATATATATTATCTCTATATCTACTCTCTCTATATATATACTATCTCTATATATCTTCTCTCTATATATACTACTCTCTCTCTATATATATACTTTGTTCGTTAAATTTAGCGTCCAGTTTCTGTGTTTACGTCCGTCAGTTGATTGTTTACTATTTATATTAGTTTTAAAAAGGTAGAAATCAATGAAAGACGTTTTTAAGTAGATGTTTATTCGGGGCAAAATGGTTCTGAATGTGAACCATGCTACTTGACTTGCTTAAAGGTGATCAATTCACAATTGTAGCCGAACAGACACTGTATGACACACCCATTTCCCAGTGTTCAATACCTAATTTTTAAACTTTTCTGTGCTTTGAGCATTTAGTTTTTGAATGGTGCGATGCGGTTCCCGATAAACAAAGTCGTTTCATTATTCTTCAAAGTAAGAATCTGGAGGTGCGATGTTTTTGTGGCGTACCGTTCACTCAATCGACACTATCATTCATATTAAGCACTATTCCTTGTGGCACTCGGTGCACCAGGTCTCTGTATTCGGCCCTTCAAAAAGTGTGGATGGTCCTGCACGAAACCTTCACCACTATAATCAAATCTCATGTGCTGTTGACCCTCATACGTCGAATTCGACGGGAGAGTAGGAGAGAGAGAGAGAGAGAGAGAGAGAGAGAGAGAGATATATATATATATATATATATATATATATATATATAGGAAGTGGGGACTTTAGGAAACCCATGGTAATATTTGATTTCGTGAAATCGATATTTCGGTTTCAGGCCAAATGGTTTCAACAACTGTTGAAACCATTTTGGTCTGATGATATTTCGGTCTTGCGACATAAAATATTACCATGGGTCTCTAAACTCTCCGCTTTCTTAATAATCATTTGCTCAGTTCTTACATTGAGCTCACCCTGGATCTATATCCACTTTGAAATTATCCATTATATATATATATATATATATATATATATATATATATATATGTGTGTGTGTGTGTGTGTGTGTGTGTGCAAATATATAGAAAAATAGGAAAGAAACGTTAGGTTAATAATCCAAGTTCTTTAGTATTTTTGTTTTTATTTAAAAAAAAAAAAAAACAGTGCTCAATACTTAAGTAAAGCCGAAATTATAATTATTTATTTAAAAATATGATCCCATCGCTACATAAGAGTTCTCATGTTTTAAAAAGAGAAGCTAAAAACTAAATTAAAATTAAGTTTTTAGCTTCTATTTTTGAAACATGAGAACTCTTATATAGCGATGGAATCATATTTTAAAAAATAATTATAATATATGTATCTTACATATATATATACATATACATATATATATGTTACCTGTCCTTCACTTTTCTTTTCTTCCCTCTCTCTAGATCTTTATACACATTTCCCTCTCAGCCTTTTTCACACTCCCATATATATCACTGAAATTTTGTTTTTTTGAACCTTTTATATTTTCTGTTTTCTTTTTTTTATATATCGGATCAATTGGATATGATTATATTCCAATGTAATAAATCATAACCATGAAATACTAGTGTTGAGCTTTTTATATATATATATATATATATATATATATATATATATATATATATATATATAGTAGTGTTGAGCCTTTTATATATATATATATATATATATATATATACCTTTTATATATATATATATATATATATATATAGTTTTAGCCTTTTTATATATATATATATATATATATATATATATATATATATATATATATATATATATATATGAGCCTTTTATATATATATATATATATATATATATATATATATATATATATATATATATATATATATATATATATATATATATATTATATATATATATATATATATATATATATATATGGATACATTGATAGACATTTTTAAAGAAAGGAATGGATTTTTATTTATTTATCCGAGAGATTTTTGTTATTTAAACATTATTTTTAATGGATACTCGTATTTGAATAGACGTTTCATTTATTTATTAAACAGTTTATTTATTTATTTATTTTTGTCTGCCGGCCTGAATCTTATTAGAAGAATATGCGCTCCTCGGTAGAATTCGAACCTGCGTCCCTCTACGGGGAAACCGTCATTAAATCTGATATGCTTATTTCTTTCTTTAGAAATTGCCTTAGGTATATTTCATTTCAATTACATTTTAATATATCTAATTACAATTAAATACTCTATTTAAATAAAGTCTTGCCTGTGCATTAATATTGCATAATATATATATATATATATATATATATATATATATATATATATATATATATATATATATATAAAATACATCTTACATTTCATCAGCTGGTTGTACATTACCTGAAGTTGTTATTTCTGTTGTTGTCGTTGTTGCTAATTCCACACATCCCATAATGCTTAGTTCGGCACGCACCCCTTGTCGACGATTCTTCTTTTTCAGTTCAACCTTTACTTTTCTGATCAATTTCTCTTTGTTTGGTGGAAAGATTTCTCTTCCAGGTTTGGTAATCTGAAAAGGGAAACTTTAATGAGTTATACCGTTGACAAGGTTACTATTAATAAAATGGACAATTGTTAACGTGCTAGGAAGTGTAGCAGGGGATTATAAATTGTCCTTATAAACATAAGGAACTAAATTGAGAATTATATAGATTTACAAAATGATTCCAAACGTTACCCTAAATATTTGAGTCTTTAGAAAACTTGATCTTTCGCCAGAGCACGAAAAGGATTCTCCTGATAATAAACCTATAAACCGATAAGAATGACTTTTTTTTCCCAAAAAGCAAAAATATATGACGATTTCATATTGCACGGATATACATTTATCATGTTTTGGGATTTGGTATGGAATAGCAATCACCGAATAAAAATTATTTAATGATAAAATTTCTGTCTGATAGCAAGACAGAGATAATGCTGATTAAAAAAACTATCGTTGAAGATGACAGAAATGGACATTGATATAGGCTGTAGGAAAAGAAATACTTGTACACACGGTAATATCATTCATTCTCGATCTATATGCAGTATAAGTTCTGGATTATTCTAAAATCCTTTCCAAATAGATCGAGTTTTCCTAATAGTTCAAATAGATCATTGTGTCGTACCTCATCAAATTCTTTTGTCTAATCTATAAAACAAGTATTCCTCCTTCTGAATAATTACGCTCAACAATAATAAATTCTGGTAGGATCTCCAGTGTCTTGCTGTTTAGTTTGAATATATCTGGAGAGAAGACACAGCCTTGTCTTATATCTCTTTCTGTTTTTATGTATCTACTCAATTTATTTTCGATTCACATGCAGGACGGTTTTCTCCCAGTATAAGTTCTGGATTAATTTAAATCCTTTCTAAATAGATCGAGTTTTCCTAATAGTTCAAATAGATCTTTGTGCTGTACCTTATCAAATGCTTTTGTCTAATCTGTAAAAGATAAATGTACATCCTTCGGCATTTATATTGATTTCTCTGATATCATTCTGATCATAAATATAGCATTTCTTTTTCCAACAGTCAGAAAATAGATCTAAAAATATTCATTTTATGAGAGGATCCTATGAAATAAATTTACAAACAGGAATTTTTAAACTTCGTCTCATCCTAGTATTTAACATCTGATTTAGCGACCTGGATGTATTTTTAAATTTTGTGTCGTCGTATTTGATCAGTCAGTTATTCTTTGGGTATCAATCAGATTTAAAGCCACTTGCGAAAGAAAGCCTACTCACCGTTTGCACTGAAGATCCGTCTGTAGTAGTGAAGGTTAGAATCATTTTTTTCACGTTGGACGTTTTCATTATTTGAATACTTTGTGTCCAAATTGGTTTCTTGTCAAGGTTGATCAAGATCGTTGGGTTTCGATCCAGTTTTCGGGATGCCCATACAAGGTCACCGGGCCTAACATCAGTTGGCTTACTTCCTCTCATGGAACTTGATGTTCTTATTTGTTTATCGGCAATCGAATGGGAAGTGAGCAGCATTACATCGGCATATTTCACACAACTCGGAGGCGCTAAAGTCAAAAATAGTTTCATGTTAAAACGCAGTTTTTTTTTTATTCAAGAAATTATGAGACGTCCATAAATATTTCAATAAAGGAGCAAATACAGAAAGGAACAGATTTGTCCTTCTAGAAGACATTTTGATTTACGCATTATTATTATTAATATTGATTCTATTATTATTATTTTTTGTTGTTATTGATATTGTTATCAATGTTATTTCCTTTGTTTACTTTCAATTCTGGTTTGGGTTTAGTTTGGTTTATTTTGTTTTACGGCATATCAACACCTCAATGGGTTATTTAATGCTAACAAAATTTTTAGGATAGGTTTGTATGAATAGAATATGTATTCTTTGTAAGAAATCAGTTTGTAGATCAAGTTTCATTGACGTATTTTCGTAAAGAGGGTTTTTGTCAGAGTCAAATGTATTTCTGGTAATATTTTTTCATTAAAATG